CACTCCATGTCACCGGGAAGGTCCACTCCTTCTAAAAAGGAAAAAAAAAGAAAGCCCCTTTTTATGCTGGGAGCCAGAGAAGCCTGTTTGCCTTGGGGGGGGGGGGGCTCGGGCTCCATCCGGGCAGGAAGGAGATCAGGTGGCTGGCTCCCAACCCTGACATACGTCAAAATCACCTAGGGGAGATTTTCTTAAAATCAGGGATCCTGGACTGCACACCCAGACCTTTTGGGACGGGGTCCAGGACTGTCTGTTTTTCCAAAGCCCCTCGAGTGCTCCTTCAGCTTTGCTGACACTGGTTTATGGGGTCCGGCATTCGGGAAGCATTGGCGCGTGGGCAGCTCTGAGGTCCCCCTTCTCCCTGGTGAGAGGAAGTGGGACCCACCAGGGGTCATTTGGGTTTGGAAGGGGGGTCAGGAGGAGCCTCTGGGCAGTGGGACCAGCCCCATAACTCCATCTCCGGAAGAGCCCTCACGCACATGCAAGTCTGTGTGTCACCAGAGTCATGAGCAGTAAGCCGACTGAGCTGAGCCGTCTCCCCGATTCCTGGACGCCCCTGGGAAGTGTTAATGAAGAGCCGCCAGTCAGACCCCGAGGCAGCAGGAGGGAGGAGAGGCCAGCAGCCAGAACAGATCACCAAGTCGGCAATCAATTGACCTGATTGCGCGGCACTTAACCTGTGACATCACGGGGCGGGGCCAGAGTGGTCTCTTGCCACAGAGCCCAGCAAGCCAGCTGCCGGGCATTTAGGACACCCCGCTCTGTGTGCGCCAGAGCAGAGCTGGAGCCTGAGAGCTGCCCCAACCCAGCAGCCTCTCTCTGTGGCAGCACGGGCCTGGGCTGTCCGTGGGTGGGGGGCTGTGTTGGCCCTGATTGGGGTCTTGCTCCAGCTCATGTCCCCTTCACACCTATAGCTGTAGAGCTGCTGGGATTCCATGCGCTCACACATGCTGGGGGTGTCTGGCGGCGGCACTTGTGGTACTGATGTAGAAACCAGCCAGGTATCATCTTTAAAACCTAACGACACTTGGGTCCCTTTTTTATGTGAAGTGGCTCTACTGGCGTGGCAGGCTGTTTTTAATGGCCAACGAAGAAATGCTCTCCTGTCACGAATGATTGGCCCAAATCCTCTAAATAAAGCAACCCCCCAGACAGGCTGTCAGCCTCTTCATGTCACACTGATGGCCAGACAGATGATACAGGACAGAGATGTGGCTTCTCTCTCCAGGCGGGGTTTCCCTGCGGTCAGAACCCCAGCTGCAGCTCTCTGGGCTGGGTGGTGGTGGTGGTGGCAAATTGGGGTCACATCTGTAAGACACAACGGGCAGCCACCACTTCCCGGGGACTCCCCCTGCAGCACCCCCCTTCCGGCAGTGTTTAGTGTTTGTTGCCATGACAAACTGAAAGCAGGATATCTAAACCCCGAGCAGCTGAGCAAGGCTACGGTGCTCAGGACACCAGATCTGTCTTCAGGTTGCGTGTCTGTACCCACGGCTCTGCCTGGGGACTCAGGACTAGGCAGGGGACGCAGGACTGGGAAGAGCCTGTGCTGCCAGCGTTCGGCCAGCTCTGGTTCTTGACATGTTTGAAATCAAGTGAAAGTGAACATCAGGTCGTATCTCCAGAGAGAAAAGAATGCAGAGAGCGTGTGTGGGATGTGGGGTGTGGGGGAGCAGGAGGCAGGTCCCAGCACAGTGTCCCAGCTGGGGGATGCAGGCTGGCCCTACAGGTAAGAGCGCCAGGTGTTTGTTAACCGCCAGACCACCTCATCCTCCTTTATAGTTGCTTAGAAGGAAAAAAAAAAACCTAACAAAAAAAAAACAAAAAAAACCCCTGACATTCCCAGATGTGCTGTTTTCCGGGCCATAAGGAGGAGTAGGGGTGCCATGTAGGGGGGTGAACTGATAAAACAAGATAGGTCTCAGTCCCACAGGTGCCTGGGACAAAGCTTACAGTGGACCGCCGTGCATTGTGTCCTGGGTGGGAGCCAGGCTTGTGCGTGTTTACTGTCGGCACCATTGTGTATGGGGCTATTCATGAGTGGGCGCTGACGGATACAGGAAATAGCCTCTAAGTCCATCCCTGTTGCTTTGTTTCCTCGCATCCAGGTAGGAAGTAATGACTTGACCCTTGTTAACCTTCACCTGGCAACCCTGAGCCTCCCCGGGGGTGAGAATCCAAGCAAGAATCACAGTGACAGCCACCGCCTGGCCAGCTTCGCACAGACCTTGCAGGAAACGCTGAAAGGTAGGAAATTGTCTTTCTCCGTGGCTGGGCCCGCAGCTCCCACTCCTGCAGGGCAGGCAGGGGGTGGCCTCTTCCCAGGGTCTCCCTGATCCCTTAGGCTGGCCGTGCTGTGGGCAGCAATGCGCAGTGAGGGCACAGGAGGCGGGCACACCCCCAGCATCCCCTGCAGCTTGGCCGCCCCTATGCATGGCGACATCTTTGTCTCTGTGGACCTGGCACGCACGTTCCGCAGTATCGGCTTTGTGCTCTTTGGCAGAATCGATTAAGGGGAAAAAAATAAATGATGACGCCCTCCCCTGTGACTCATCCTGAGTTCAGCTGCCTCATGTGTGCCACTGTGGTGGTGCCACCTGCAGATTTGCACTTGCTATTCTTACAAGAGAGACAGTTGGTGACAAGGGGAGTGGGAAAGTCCTGACTGGCAGTACGCTGAGTTCTTCTCCCTGGTGGGGTACGGATGGCGCGGAAGAGCCCAGAAGCTCTCCAGGAAGCTGGGTTTTCACCTCAGCTGCTTCAGCAGCTGTAGAACCTCAGGCAAGCCCTCCAAGCCCCATGTGATGGGGAACAGTGCTAACCTTACAGGGGAGCCTGGGGGCTCGGTAACTGTCTGTGGAAGGACCAAGCACTTAGTAGGTGCTTGGCAGACATGAGTCGATTCCAAAACTACCAGAGGGATTGAGAACATTAAAAATGTTCAGAAGGAAGGGGGCCTCTCTGTTTCCCAGGCTCTGCCCCCAACAACACACAAGTGTTTCTGTGTGTGGTTTATCAGAAGGAAAAGTGGGCGCAGCTGTAAAGACGGGTGTTTTTAATGTGGTGTGTTTTTTCAGAGCACGGATCTCCTCTTGGTGAGGGTTCTGGAATTCTCTGCCATATTTTTGAGTTTTGACCAATATTCTCTAGCTTTCTAAAGCCTTTTCCTTGTTAAATTGGTCCCTCACAATGGGTGATTCATGAAGATTTGGCTTCAAAAATAGTTTTATCACGCTACAGTTAAAGTTTACATTTAAAGTGGTTTTTTTTTGTAGTAAAATATACATAACATAGAATTCAGTATCTTGACCATTCTTACATGTGCAGTGCAGCGGCCCTGAGCACATTCACATTGTTTACAACCATCACCACCATCCATCTCCATCGTCCCAAACTGAAACCCTGCACCCCTTCAACACTACCTCCCATTCCTCCCACCACCACTACCCCGAGTCCCCAGCAACCGGCATTCCACCTCCTGTCTGTATGGATTGGACTACTCAGTGTAGCTCATATACGTGGAATCTTGAAGTAGCTGTGCTTTTGTGTCTGGCTTATTTCATTTAGCCTAATGTATTCCCATTTTCTCTGTGTTGTAGCATGTGTCAGAACTGTCTTCTTTTTAAGACCAAGCACTATTCCATTGTGTACACACACATACACACCACAGTTTGCTTATCTATTGGCCGATGGACACTTGTGTTGTTTCCATCTGTTCACTGTTATGAATATTGATCTGCCACTTACATTTTGAACCAGGATGTGCTGTGACCAGTGTTCTACTTAAATTATGAGTCTTTGAGCTAAAAAAGGAACAGCTATGTGGGAAATTGTTCACCTACAGTTAGTGTCTCACCTATTAAAAAGGATGACTTGATAGCTTTGAAAATCTGTGGCCATTTCAACTGTCCTCAATCTCAAGTTTTTCCTTACCCTTACATGGATAGCAGAGAAGGAAGATGCCAGCTCATATCTTCTCTGATAACGTTAGGCACTCACTGTTTTTTTTTTTTTCCTGATACCTATATCAAGGGAGTGGTCAGGTTTTCGTCAGAAAGTCTGGCCAGGTTAGTGTTCCAAGTCACCAAGGGACTATTGACGCACAGCTTGGCTTGGCCTTGACATGTCCAGGTATGGACAGTGACTCGTGTTGCCTGCACCCCCCTGTGTGTAACTGGAATCTTCATTGTTAACTGTTGGCGCAACAGACACGAGGATTCAACAAGTGCTCCAGTCTGCCCAGGGTGCAGTAGGGTAAATCGATTGGCGTAGGCAGTTCAGCTGAAACAAAGACTAAACCTGTATTCCACGGGCTTCCATCAGAGCAAACAGAACCGATTTGATTAGCAAACTTGGGGCTTTTCTGCCTTTGTCTGGAATGGGAGTCCAGGTTGACGTTAGTGGGTGGTTTGCTAGGCTGATGGAATTTTCTCTTCTGAGACCCCTTGGGGCTTGCTCTGCAGGAGTGATGCAGGGCACATAGTAACGCTTGACATCTGCGTAGGACCATCCCTCGGTGGGGACCAGCTCCTGTTATTGTCACTAACATTTTATAAATCTAGGGACTCTAGGAAATCGGCCCCAAGCATTCTTCCTTCACTTCTAAAAACTAAGGGAAAAACTAATGAACCCAAACCAGGGGGATACTTTCTGGGAGAATTTAGGCCTCTGCACATCTGAGATTCTCAGAGATAAGAACTGTCTTGATGGTATCGCCAACACCAACTCAACCAAAAGATGAGTTGTAAGAATCCTGTTCAAAAAGAGCTATTTATTGCATAAATAAAAAAATGATGTTATTTTCATTCCTGAAGTTATACGGATCTGGGCTTATTAACCCTGGACAACCAGCATCTCTCCTGGTTTCAGAATTGTCCTTTTCAGCCTAATCTTCTCCAGATCTATGTTCCAATGAAAATCTCTCATTCTAGTGAACCTCCTGCCTCCGTCTTTTATAACCTTCAGTTTTCCTTGGCAGTCAATAAATGTACCATCTTCCTCTCCTTTTCTTTCAAAAACAAATTGCACCTTAGTTCTGAGGTTTGCCTCAGGCCTCCTTCACCCATTTCGTCCGCACGTGTTTATCGAGTGTCTGCCATGCAGCAGGCACTGTTCCAGGCGCCTGGGATTTTTTGATGAACAGCCGCCCATGTCCTCGTGACTCTTCCATTCTAGTTCTATGTTAAGAGCCCTGGACTTGAGGGCTGGCTCAGTGACTTTGGGTGAGCCCGTCAACCTCTTGGTGCCTCAGCAGAGCGGGCCTGGCGCACAGAGAGGGTTCAATGGATGGCCATTAACACTGCCCAGGTATGAGTTATAATTAGTATTAGTCTCACCTCAGCTTTCCTGTTGGAAGCTGGCAGTGATTTCTCAAGAGAGCTTAGGCTCACTCTGCTTTGGGTAACAAGGTTGTCCCCATCTACCCTGTGGGGTACCTCCCTGTTGGCACACAATGGAGCTGCAGAAAAGGCTTCCATCCCATCACGCCCCCTAGAGGAGGGTCATCTGCAGTGCACGTGTGCCCTCTGCTGGTGGCTTGTGTCATTTCACTTTAGATTTCTCCCTTTTGCCATTATGACTGAAACATATTTTCATCAAGGGAAAAGATTTGCTGAGTGTCTCAGATAGATTTGGCTCTCATTTGTGAACTGCTTTCCTTAAAGCATCCCTTGCGATTCAACAGAAGCGCCGTTCCCTGTGATAGCATGGCTCCCTGAAGGGAACCTCGAGACACGAAGTGACGGCTGAGCCGTTGATGGAAATCCCTCAGAGCTCAGCTGGGGTCCACTGTCTTTTCAGAATGTCTGCTCACTTGGGACTAACTAGGATTGCTATCTCACTTACTAGTGTGAATCAAACCATGGGAGACATGTTGAATATATTTTAAGGAGAAAGGCTTTCCACTTTGGCCCTGTATTACCCTGCTAGGGCTGCCATAATAAAACACCACACACTGGGTGGTTTACACCACAGAAAGCTATTTCCCCACAGTTCTGGAGGCTGGAAATCCAAAATCAAGGTGTCAGCAGGGTTGGTTTCCTTTGAGGCCTCTCTCCTTGGCTTGTAGATGGCCACCTTCTCCCTTTGTCTTCACGTGGTCTTTCCTCTGTGCTCGGTAAATCTTTGTTGAGCTTCTGTTAACTCTCTGAACGAGACCCTTAGGCCTCTTTCTGCTGTGAGATTTGGAACACATGAGCTAGAATAGGGGTGCTCCCTGCATCACACTGCCCCCTATTTCTGTCTTCTACTCACCTACTCTTAAAGGTTTGGGGATTTTTTGCACAAGGAATTTGGAAAAATTGGGAGAATGAGAACCACACCGCAGTCCTAACTCTGGGGAGTCAAATCAGAGAGTCGCAACCCACATGCACGGGCTGCGGTCAGCAGTGGGTGTACTTCCCACCGCCTCTCCCATCCCTGATTTGCTTTCTTCCACTTTCAGGAGAAAAAGACGTGGTTGTTTTAGGGGATTTTGGCCAGGGGCCAGACAGCAGTGACTATGACATCCTGAGGAAAGAAAAATTCCTCCACCTGGTCTCTGCACACACCTTCACCAACATCAGCACCAAGAACCCTCAAGGCTCCAAGTCTCTGGACAATATCTGGATCAGTAAAAGCCTGAAGAAGGTTTTCACAGGTAAGGCAGAAACCGCTGGTTGCTTCTTTCTCCTGAAACTTGTGTGAACTGACAGTTCTGGATTATGGAGGCTGAACAGGAGTCAGGAGTTATCTTACCTCCTCTGTGGGCGTTTGTAGGGTTATCCTTTAGGTGACTATGTAATTATCATTCAAACTGAGCCACTTTTAGAAGGAAGGTGGGTGTGAGAAATAATTAGAAGCTGCTCACTGGTCTACAACAAGGGTCCACCGAGCGTGTCCCAGGCAGACCTGGTATGGGCTAGCAGAGACCCTATTTAGAGATGAGCTGATAACTTACCCTAATTTTAAGGACCCTTAGTCACTCAGCAAACATTCCTTGAGCTCTGTCACCTTCAGGCACTGTGCTGTGGCCTGGGGTTTACCGACACGCAGTGCCCTGAGGAGCAGCAGTTGGGGATGAGCAGACATGTCACATAGTGTCACAATAGGATGGGAGAAGTACTTTAGACAGGACCCCACAAGGACCAGGGTGTGGTGGGTAATCTCAGCACTGAAAAGCAGCCGCCACTCCCAAACCAGTAATCTGCTGAGACTACTGCTTTGGGTCAGAAAACAGTTAGTCGCAAATATGGAAGGACAGTAGGGTCTTTTGCTGGAAGACAAGAACAGCGGCTCTCAAACCTGCCTGGAAGCTTTCTAAACACCAGTGGCTACCTATTATACTTCTGAGGACATTTACAAATTTAAAAAGTACCAGTTCTGGGGGCCCACAGGGCGGAGGTCCTTAGGACTAGAATTTCTAGGCCTGGAGTCTGGTTTCCTGTTGGGCTGTGGTGTGGGAGCCTCCGAAGGATGAGGGAAGTGACAATCCTGAAACTTGGTGAGATGCCATTTGTGGAAGTGCACTGCTGGCCAGACCGAGGCCCACCAGTTGGCCCGGGCTGCCATGAGGTCTGGCAGGAAGCAATTTTTCACCAAGACATCTGGAGAGCCTGGGACACAGGGCCGGAAGGAAGTTACGAATCACTGCACTGGTCCCCGTGCTGTTCCTTTGTAGAAACGGAGGTGCAAGGAGTTCCCACCGTCAGGAGCAGTCACCTGGGCAGGCCACAGCTCAAGCCAGAGCCAGGCCTCAGTACCATACACCGACCGCGAGCTGCCTCCTCACTGGGTCACAGCAGCGCTTTCTGAGCTCTGCACGGGCTTTTGTAACTATTTCTGTCATTGTTTTCCAGATGTTCCTCCCGCTTCCTATACTTCTAAATCTTTATTTGTTAAATAGCTTTACTTCCTCATAAACCTCTGTAACGTTCCCTTTTTTACCCTTCTTATAGAACTGATTCCCTGTCCCCTCACCACCACCCTTATTGTCTTTGCTTTGTGAAATAGGACCTTCGCTTTAAACATCTTTGGGGGCATTTGTCTCCATGTCACGTACTCTTGCTGGTCAGATTAGAAGGGGTATAGAGTGAGGAGGAGGTCAGCCATGCTGATGGGTGTGTGAATGGGCAGGCAGCCGGACTCGTAGCTTCAGTGCCTAAATGGTAAACCCTCAATGTCCAGAGGATCAGATTGCCCGAGACGTCTCCAGTGCATGGCCAGCCAGAGAGCTGAGGCGGGGGCATTGTCAGGGAACCCAGCCCTGCCCACCTGCACAGTTGGTCTCCACCTGCCAGCCTATGACCCCACCTACCTCCCCTTCCTGATTTGTGGGTCTCCTTTCCCTCGCCCTTCAGGTCACTGTGCCGTCGTGAGAGAAGGCCTCACGAATCCTTGGATTCCGGATAACTGGTCCTGGGGCGGGGTAGCTTCTGAACACTGCCCTGTGCTAGCCGAGTTTTACGTCGAAAAGGACTGGAATAAGAAGGAAGGTCCTCGCAATGGCAACGGGGTCACCTTGGAGCGAAGCGAAGCCAACATTAAGCATGAGCGATGATGACACCAAATGGGGTTCTCTACCCTCTCACCCCACGGGCACGGGCGGACATTAGCCCTTCCTGGCACAGATGCCTTTTCGTCATTCTGACCGCGTCAGCACCTGGGCCCTGACCGGCCTGCCTTCTTTGTGGATGTTTCTGGACCTCTCACGGGGAAGGAGGCGCCAGACGGTCTAATCAGAAGCCCCGCAGAGAACTGAAATGTCTTCTAGTCTCTGGACCCAACAACCTCAGCCGACTCGGGCTGGCCGCCCGCTGCCGCCTGGACTGCAGCACAGAGAACAGTCCTGGAGGCTCCTGGGACGCAGTGGGCGAGGTGTCTCGGGCCGCCAGGGCCTGTCTGAGCCAGGCCAGAAGCTCTCGTCTCTGACCACCAGTCTGTGATGCTCTGGCTGCAAATTACATAAAGCTTTCAAGTGTGATTGAGCAGTCTCCTCAAATATTTTGAGTGGTGATTTTTAGTTTTGTTTTGAAAAAAATAAAACAGAGATGAACCTGCCTGGCTGCAGTGAGAGCCTGGGGGTGGGTTCCCAACCGCAGGGGTCTTGTGCCCACTTCGGATGCCCCTGTGGGTCTGTGCCCAGAGGGGTCCTGGACACAAAGCACCCCCTCTGGGGAGCCCACTCCTTTACATCCCCTGCCTTGCAGAGGTGCCTCTCACCCCATCGCCCCCCTCCACCCCCGAGACGCTATCAAATCTCTGTATCTAAGTCTTCTTCCTCCTCTCATCCCCGCCTTCATCCTCTGACACCTGTGCTAGACCGTGTGTTACGTTGTTGCTCCATCGTGCCCCAGACACTTAGCACAGGCACTCATGCTGGACCAGAACTCTCTCAGAACATCATTGCCTCTGTCCCTCCCCACCCGCTCGTGTTTTCAGTCGGCTTCCTAGTCCAGATCCTCCCTCTATCTGTTGGTTCTGATCCACAGGCAAAGTAATCCACGCCTGCATCGTCCATTGCATGGCTTTGCTTGTAAGAAAACCATGGGTCCCTTTAATAAAGCGGAACTCTGAGCCCCAGGCTGGTGGTGCCTGGAGGTGATGCTGCAGGGTGAGCGCCCCGAACCCGCCCAGCTGTCTGCCTAGAGCCCCGCCCTGCTGCTCCCACCGCAGCACAGCTGAGGCCCGGATGGAGCCGCGAAGGCAGGCTTTGCCAACAGCTTAAGGAGGGCAAAGAAACAGCCCAGGGAATCATAAAAGCTGATTTGTGTGGCTGCCAGGTAGAGCTTCCTCAGCTTGTGGGGCAGTTGGAGACTGCCCTGCCGGGCCCCACCTGGCAGAGGCCAGCAGCCCTGCCTCCTGGGAAGACCCTTAGGTGGGTCTGGACAAGTAGAAGGAAGTGCAGAGTGACAGAAGTGAGGGGCGTGAGCTCTCTTGCCTGGCCGAGGATGTCCTCTGGGCTCCACCTCCTCCTGCCTGACACCTGGTACCTTTCCCAGTTGATAGGCCTCTGGGATGTCAGGAAGAGCCCGGCCCCACCCCCAGGTGTGCATGCTTAGCCTAAGGTCTTCTAGAACTCGTGTGTGGGGGCTGAGGGCAGGCACAGGGGGGTGGCGGTGGGGAAGGAAGGGGCCGGAAGGGGACAGGCACTGCCTGCCTATGTGTCACACGCCTGGGGACGTACACAGCTAACCTTAGGACATTCTTCGAGGATTCGAGGCTGATGCCATCACACCCTTTTCACAATTAAGCAACCTACCTGGGCTTCACAACCGGTAAGTGACAAAGTATGGATTCGAACACAGCTCTGTCTGTCTTCAAGGGCCTTGTTTTAAATGTTCTTTAGGGGACAGGCTCACAATGAAGAGTAAACAGAAAAACTTGTGTGGCAGAGGTATGAAGTGCTATGTGACTCCTAGGATGGGGCGAGGATGTTTTCACCTGGGGGTGGGGTGGGGGAGGGGGAAATCTGAGGCATCGTCACGGGGTAGGTGTCTCTTGCGTGGGTAGGACTGGGGGCTGCAGTGGCTGAGTGGGAGGTGGCATGCTCTGTGACGGCAGGGTGTGGAGGGCTCTGTGGCAAGAGCTTACAGTGTGTTATGGGGAAAAGACTAAACAGAGCCAGAGGCCAGATGTTAAAAGGCAACCGGCTAAAGGAAAGGGAGGCTAGGGGAGCCCTTGCAGGCTTTCTGCAAAGCAACGAGAGGAAAAAAGGCTGCAGCAGCAGTGCCTACAGGAGCCTGGCAAGGAAAGTGCAGGGGTGGTGGGGTTCGTGACGTTATTTATTGCTACACGCTCCCTCTGCTAAGGAGTTCATGGAGCTGTTGGAGCCTGGGTAGTCACACCTGGGACAGGGGCGGGGTGCAAGTGCAGAGGTGGGCTCCAGAGGGCCGAGGGTTCCAGTGCTCACTCTGCGCTGGGTGCGGGGCTAGATGGTAATACGCTTCGTGGGAGCTGGGGCCACGTCTGTCTGGGGTAATCGTTGTTGTGCTGACTTATCTGTGAAGGAGGATCATTTTATCAATGTCAGGATGTCCTGAGACACAGCTGAGGCTGGGTGGTAAAGCACTTGGCGTGTGCAGCAGAGCCAGCTGGCCGTGGGCACCTGGTGGCTTCTCGCAAGGTCTCACCTGCACAGCCAAAGGGAGCTCCGAGGTGTCCAAGAACTTCATCTTTGTTGGGATGAGAAAAGAAATCAGGAAAAGGATCAGGTTTGAGGGGGAAACGCTGAGCTCTGTTTTGGACAAGTCACAGTCAGGTGGCTGTAGGATGTGTCCAGGCAGGTGGAACCGGGCGGGGTCACATGCTTTTCCAGAGCCTTCCAGGACTGGCCTCCTGTGCTCCCGTCAAGACTGGAATGTCCCTCCCTGGGGACACACATCGTGTCAGGCCGGCCTAGTGGCCAGGCTGTGTACACCTAGAGGAGCTGAGAGAAGTTTGGCCCATTCTTGAGGATAATAGTCACGATCATTACAGTGGGGATTGTTTGAGGACAGGAATCCTGTTGTCTTGTGTCATGGGTTGAATTATGGCCCCCCAGAACCTCAGAGTGTGACTTGATTTGGAAACAGGGTCATTGCAGATATAATAAGTTAAGGTCACACTGGGGTTTGCCCAAAAGCCCTGGTGAATCCCGGTTTACAGGAGGTCTGTTTACCTGAGGGTCTGAGGTGAGGAGCTGGGCCTCTGTGTGATTTGCAGTATTTTATTTGAAGATAGCCCAGAAGCTTAGAGGGTTGGAAGGCTGCATTGATATTGGGTATCTTGGGTCTGGGACAGAAGACCTAAAGACGCCACAGACTCTGTATGTCAAAGCAAGATGGAGCCTGAGGTTAGAAATTGTGAGTTGCCTAGTCTTGCCTATGATCCAGAAACAATGGGGACCTCAGTTTATGGCCCACTGTTGGCCACTGAGCTGAGAAATCGCTTTGGCCAGAGGACCTGGTGCCTTTCCCCAATATCTCCTTCTCTCCCTTTTCTCTGAAACGAAAATGCTGGTTTTACTGAGAAGCATCTTAGGTCAGCATGTTAGGAAGCTGTGGAAGATAAAATAGCATATGTATGTCAAATTGCTCACACCTCACATACACACATTGCTTGCTTCAAAGACACACGTTAAAATGTTATTGAAGATCTCTCTCAAGACTGAAGAGAGTATGTTACATGCTTCAGCTATATAATCTGTATATTTATACACAGAGTATGTATATTGTTTTACAGCCCAACTCATCTCAAGGAATTTTATGACAAACTTGACTGTGAGAGACCATAGAAGAAACAGAGTTTGAAATAGGCCTGCAGGGTACTTCGGTAATACTTTCTCTTGAGTTCTTTAAGGTGATATACAAATCTTTCTTAGAAGAGTTATGCTTGCTTAAAACCAGAGTACCGGTTTGGGTTTAGTGCCAAGGGTCAACCAGCAAGATTAAAGGGCTTGTTGCCTCTCTAGTGGACAGCTGTGGAATGGCACTCAGAAATTCACTCAACTCTTGCTGGTGCTCAAATAACTCACCTTAGAGAGAATTAGACCTTCCAAAACAAAAGAATCAAATCTTGTTTAAATCTTT